TCTTTAATGGGCTTTGAATGCATTTCCAAGAGCAATCTCCAACCTTAAAATAGAATAAAGATACTCATCCTGTGCTCAAATGTTCCCATTGGTTTGAGCAGGGTGTTATGACCCACGGGTGGTGCTTCACTCACTCAACAAGAGCGATTTACCAGTCTCTCAGAGGATTGACATATTAGATGAGTATTTTCATTTCATCAGAGAAAATGCTTACTTTATATTACAATCTGTCTAGGTGTAGGTATATACCTATATTGCAAATAAGGAGATAGATATACATACAAAACCACACATTTTATTCATTGTATGTGTTTATATATGCATTGTAATTCTAGCCCCTGAATCACAATACAATTACATTTTAAAAACCCAGTGAAGATACAACATAATGGTATATAGGAAATATTCTTTAGTGCAAAATGATTCAAAAGTACAGACTAGGAATTCCACATTTAATGAGGGGAAGGGTGGAAATGACTCAAAGACCTGAATTAATGTTAATTCTAATACTAGATTCAACAAAATAAAGCCAATATTTGTATTCCCTTGAGATTAAATTTAATTGAAGGTATTCATTATTTACCACTGCATCATGATCAGTGTTTGCATTCCTTATTCAACATATAACGAAGCCTAAAAACATGGACCAAACTGAAGTCAGCGGAGTTGCCTGGTTGTAATCGAGACGAATCTGACCCATTTCATTATAGCGTCTACACCCTGCTCTCATTCCTCTCGAATCCAAAACACATACAATATGTCAATCCTAATATGTCAATCCTCTGAGAGACTGGTAAATCGCTCTTGTTGAGTGAGTGAAGCATCACCCGTGGGTCATAACACCCTGCTCGCATTCCTCTCTAATTCATACTTGTGTACATCAGGAATAACTCTAGCAAAAGCAACAGGCAAAATCCTTAAAATGTGTAAACTGGTATCGCTCTGTCGAGTTCAATGGAGCTACACCAAATCTACACCAGCTGAGGATGTGACCTACTAGAATTACATCACTGTAAAAACTGGTTGTAGGTCAAAATCAGGCCCACGGTGCCCAAAACGATATTTGTAAAAGACACACAATTAAGATCCAATGTTTTTTCTGCAGAAGAATTTGTGACAATGCAAAAAAAGCCTTTTTAAAACAAATCCGAGAACAGCTGATCTTTATTAAGTTATTTCTTGTGAATTGTTACCCTTTTAAAAAAAAAGTTAGACAATGCACTAGTTAGAATATATAATGGCCTTCCAACTGATTTACATCTCCACTTTCATCGGATCTAGGCTTTATCACCTCAAGAATAAGACGCTTCCCAGTGCATTTCACAATAAACAAAACTCACTCAATATTCTTTGACAAGAAATCTTGCAGTTGAATTAAATTAGAGTTGAAATGGGTATGTAAGAATATATTCTATTGGGTACCTGGGATACTAACCATGCTTTCCACTTGGTAAAGGAATTAATTCCCCAATATGCTTTCATTCCTTACACATGGAAGTTGTATTCTGAATTTGAAGAGTGAAGGTCCGAATGAACTTGGGTCTGTCAGTATGCAAATATGAATGAATAATGTTAATATTTCACAGTGCCTATACGTCTGTTCAGAAATGAACTTTCGTATTAAACCTAACACTGCCTTGGATAACTGAACTACAGCAACCTATTTCTATTCTAGTTATTGGCTATTCAAAACCCTGGAATATTTTTAGATGAACTGAAGTCTACGGGCTATTGAAGCCAACCAGAGCCTTGACATGAGAACTGGTCCGGGCCTTAATTTTGTAAGTACGCACCCTCACCTTGCTTTTCAGTGCAACCACAAGTCTGGGGCTCAAATCACATAGGCTTAAATAACCTCTGACTTCAATGGGACTAGTCATGTTTCAAGTTAACCACATGATTTTTAAAGTGTTTTACTGAATCAGGTCCTAAATTGCTATGCCATTTATCTTGTCTGCGCACATGTCAGCAAGTAAAGGAAAATAAGTAATACCATAGATAAAAGATATTTATGGAAAAAACAAAGTTTACAGGGATACTCCCACAGTAGATAGAGCACTGAACTGCATTCTAGTCCCTGCTCTGCCACTGGCCTGCTGGGGACATTGGGCAGGTCACGTCACCTTTTTGTGCCTCAGTTTCCCCATCCATAAAATGGGGATATTGATACAAACCTCCTTTGTGAAGTGCTATGAGAGCTATGGATAAAAAGTGCTAGGTATTACTATTACTACTGTATACGGATATCAGTTCTGCTGCATCGGTGCCCCACTGTAACCATAGCAACAGGCAGAAGGAGGGAGAAAAGAGGTAACCTAGAATGTACTGAAGTAAGATTTTTGGATTATTTGTTGCTGGAAAAAAATATTTTCTTATTTTACCAAAATTTAACTACTTTTGGGGGGAAATGTCAATCTCCCGTTATACAAGCCCTTCCTCACGGAGCCGTAATGAAAAGACTCGGTTTTAGACTCCTAGTCGCTGCCTTGCTACAAAGGATTACTACTTTTCTATCGCATAGCTACAAGAACCAGATCACGTTTCAAGCATTCAATTCTCTCCTGCGTAATGAATGGGAATCATGTAGATTGCCTTCATTTAATTTAGGCTAGAAATTCAGCCTTATCGATTGCAGTCTGTAGACTTCCTAATAATAGGAAACTGGAAGCAGCACTTACTCTTTTTTGAGTCACTTACCACACAGATGGATAGGGAGAAGCTATAAAGTGAAAAAAGAGAGTTGAATGCTATGCAGGATCAAGGTTGGTGGTTTTTCCTAGATGTTGCACAATGAGACTGCTGAGGTATGTTGTATTGAAGTTGGAGAAACATTCACGTAATCATTTGTATGCTACGTAACAGAAATTTATAAAATGTGAATCACAGTATCAGAAGTATCATTTAAACAGCTGTGACAGAATCAGAGTTTTTCATAAAACTAGGTTCTCTTCTTTCCACCTTTAACCCCACACACACGAGAGCGGGCTACACCCAACTGCTAAGTTGTGGGACAATATTTCAAATTCAAACACCTAACGTTACAAGACAAAATCAATATTAACTTTAAAAAACTCCAGAACATACAAGTGTAGATCCTCAGCCCCACACACTGTCCTGTTTGCACAACAGGAGAATCCTCCGGAGGAACAAAGCTGGCTCTATGCCATCTGCTTCTGGCCCTCTAACCCAGCGGTTCTCAAACTGGGGCCGCTGCTTGTGTAGGGAAAGCCCCTGGCGGGCCGGGCCGGTTTGTTTACCTGCCGCATCCGCAGGTTCGGCCGATGGCGGCTCCCACTGGCCGCGGTTCACCACTCCAGGCCAATGGGAGCTGCTGGAAGCAGCGCGGGCCGAGGGACATACTGGCCACCGTTTCCTGCAGCCCCGATTGGCCTGCAGCGGCGAACCGCGGCCAGTGGCAGCCACGATCGGCCGAACCTGCGGACCCGGCAGGTAAACAAACCGGCCCAGCCCGCCAGGGGCTTTCCCTACACAAGCAGCGGCCCCAGTTTGAGAACCACTGCTCTAACCCCTGGGTGAATTCCAGGACCTGGCACATCAGAGGTGACAGTCTGTCCTGTCCTTGAAAGTTTTGAGGAACTGTTTCTATTAATACACCCCTGCCACCAGCTTTTTCCACTTCAGATCCCTCAGTACCGCAGCCCCTTTCTAGTCCCTTTTTAAACACGAGCAGTCAGACTAGTACACCAGACTCCTCCCTCAATACTGCTTGTACACAACTAAAATGTAGCCAACAGTTCTCACGGTCCATCCCCACCTCTTTTTGGGACCTTGCATGACTTCCATAAGCTTCTCAGTTGATGGGGATGCCTGCTGTTCCTCTCTTTATTTGCAAAAAGTCATGTTCCCAAGCCACATCTTTTTGTTCCTGTACTAATCTTTGAGGGACCCCACATGCTCACATCTGGGCAAAACTCCCATTGATTTCAATGGTGCCATGATTTCATCTCTCTGTGCTAAACTACTTTAACCTTGCACTCCAGGCTCAAATCACTACACAGATTAGGAACACTTTTGCCCCAGCAATTCTATTCCAACACATGTATGTAGTCAGGGCTATGCTGTGTTCAAAAGAAATATCCATTCTAGCTGTCACACTAAAGCTTGTCCTCCATTTAAATATAGAGTGAAGGTGACTTAAAAAGTTCATCCTTTCTTCTCTGCTATCGAGATGTAGTTTTCAGAATTGAAAGACATTTTTCTGATCCCAGGCTGTGTCAATATGTGCTGGCTTTGAGTTTCAAGAGGAATCACAAGTAGAGAGAAATCATTAGGTGGTTTGTACAAAGCACCAATGACTGTGTTCTTGGAAGACTAGAATGCTGCAGTATTTTTCATACACTCAGAAGCATTTCTGAACTTGGTTTTAGAGAACAATGGCTAACTCAAGAAAGTGACACATTTTGTATTCCTTTTTAACCAACTATCCTATTGCCAACCATAAGCATTCAAAAATGGTGTGTCCAAAAAATGTCATGAGCTTGGCCTAAAAATGATGAGATTTAAAATATATTTAGGGTCCTTTTAATCTGCCTTATAGTTTTGGAATCCTTTAAGGCTCACGTTTTCAAGATTTTTTTCTGCACATATGAGGGCTAGAAACAACCTTTTATTAAATGCAAGGTAAGAGTCTTACATAATCACATGACTCCAAGAGTTAAGAAAAAACACCAAATAACGCAAGAGTTGGGAACACTGAAAATGCTTGGCTTTTGTGTAATTTGCAAAAAACCCCACAAAGGCAGGTTTAATTTTTGATTAAGAAAATGTCAGTTTCAAAGTAGACTCCCTCTGGTAGATTATGTTTACATCATGCAAGTATAAAGATAGAGAAATAGAAGCACATGAATGGAGAGAGCTTATGGCTCACAAGTGAATTCAGATCATCATCATGCAACACAGAACATGTAGAAATTTGAGGTGCCTAGGTGGTTATTGTTCAGTGGAAGACAGGAGAATATTTTCAGGGCATGTGTGTTTCTTCATTTGAAAAATGCTACAGGAAAAATGTATTGTTTTCTCATTTCTTCCTGGATCATGTCACCTGCCAGAACAGGAGTTTAATCAAAAGGCACATACCATTGTAAATATTCCTGCTGTCAGCTAAGTTTTTTGCTAGCAGCTAAAATATATTTTTTAAAAATGCATCTAATTGCCTCTTAAGAGTAAATTTGTAATCTAGTGGTCGATTTGCACTACAAGAAGAATTGAAGGCTCACTGCTTCTTTCGCTTCTGTAACCTATGCACATCCCCTCAGTGTAATACTGACAAGGAAGCCAAATTCTTAATGCTGAAACAGAGTAATATCCCCTCTTGGGATAAAGGGAACAAACACAATCAACCTGTCCTGGCTAACGCATGCTTTGCTTTACTACAATGCTCCTATTCATCTTTTTCTCCTGGTTCTCCTTTCTTATTTTTAAACAATGCTACTAAATTATCAGAACCAAAGGAAAATTAAAAGGTACAATTGCCCCATGTAACTTCTTCCTGGCCTTGCTGAAGTCAATGGGAGTACAGCCATTGATTTCAAAAGGGCCAGGATTTCAGACTAAATTTTGGGGGGGAGGGGGGGTGTGATATTCTCTGTTTTCTGGAACATGTACTCTCCTTTTTAACAAACCTACACAGGAACTGTATTATTAATAACTGAAGATTATGGATATATTTATTTTTAAAGATTTAGATTTTCCCAGTCTATAACTAATCATGAATTCTGCCTAATAAAACAAAACAAACCACTGCTCTGATCAACTCCGATTGATTTGACTTCTCTCGATTTTATATTTTACCAAAAAGATTATTCTCCTATTGTTTTACTTCCATGGGCATTGTGTCCAGTGCACAATTAGGGATCAAATACAGTAACCCAGATGGTTTTCTGTCCTTCCAATGGTCACACACACCTTAATACTATAGGCTTTTCTTGACTTTGTTAGCAATGCCTGAGCCAAACACGAGATGGCTCATATCCTGGCATTTAGAATGAGGTGATGTCATCAATGGTAATTAACAAAGATAGATCTTGGATGCAACGTAATGTATTACTGCTTGAAACAAGGAGGTGTTACACACACACACTCAGTGACACTGCTGTTCTCATATGGAGGATCTTCAAAGGCTAGGCAAAGAATTTGGCAAAATTAATCCCAGCTCTGAGTGCTTCTGAAAAAAGGTTTGAATCCATTTGAAATTCACAAACTAGGTTGAGACATATTCCCCAAATCATCTAACACAGCCCTACTGTCTTCTAAACATTCTTCACCACATTAAGAAGGAATAAAGTACCTTACTTACAATCAGAGCCCCTAATTTTGGAGGATAGAATACTTTGCATGATTTGGCAGCTTACAAATGAATGCAAGGAGACAGCATCCCATCAAGTCCCTTAGGCAGTCTTGCTTAACGGAATGCAATTTCTTACCTGAAAAACATAAATAAGCAACATACATTTACATTTTATTCTGCATATATTAATATCTTATTTAGCAGCTTAAGCCACATGTGAAATCAGTTCTTTCTACTAAGCATGCAGGGATGGCTGTGTCACTTGTTTAGAATGTTTTTTTAAAATCAACTTGTAATTTCTAATTAAAACAGTTTCAGATGTAAATATTTATATCAAATGGGGAGACGTGATTAACATTTTCACTGAAGATACAAACTCGTAGCAAAACATTTTCCCAATAATTCCCTGCAATGAATGAGGCTACAATTATGCATTTCCATCAGACCCCATCAGAAAACAGGATATGCTTGTACAGCCCATGCCCAGCCTCACCCAACCACGCCAACCTAGCTGGTCCAAATCACAGGCTATCATTAACATGAAATACGTAGCATCTGCTTTTCCCCACTTCTGGCAGTTCCTCAGTATAACTGCCTGAACGAATGCAACTTTGGCTGATCAATCAACTGCTATATATGAATTCCACTGAAGATCCAGCTCCTACTGAAATGATACATAAGGAAATGCATTAGAGTATCTTCTGTTTTAGCTTGTGAATTTTCCCTGTGCTAAGAGGTAGGTTTATCCCTGTTTTTGCATCTTTAAAGTTTTCCCTAGAGGGGAAATCCTCTGTGTTTTGAATCTTTTTGTTACCCTGTAAAGTTATCTTCCATCCTGATTTTACAGAGGTGATTCTTTTTTTTTTTTTTTTTTAAATAAACTTCTTTTAAGAATCTGATTGTTTTTCAGTGTCCTTAAAGACCCAGGGGGTTTGATCTACCTGTGAAAAAGTTTTCAGTATAAATCTGGGCAAGCTGACGAGCCTGGAATGATTTGGGGGGGGGGGGGGGGGGGGGAGGGGGAGGGGAGGGGAGCAGGAGTCTATAAACTTGCCGCAAAGTCCACAACTAAAGCAGCAGATTGAGTGGTTACATTAATAAATTTTTTACTAATCTTGTACAACGTCAACAAGGACTTAACCATAACCCATAAATGCCATAAAGAAAGGAAGAATCAATACAAGACAAAGGCATTTCACTGAAAGACCTTCAAGAAGTAACAACGCAAAACCAAATAATTAAATGGGAGCAACTGGTGAAATATTAAATATGCACAGTTCAGGTGGTGTCTGCCCCTACACAGGTCCACAGGAGCCGTTGCCACCTGACAATTAGGGCCTGAAGCACAGCCTATGGAAGCCCGTAGGCAAAACTCCTACTAACTTCAATGAGCTGTGAATCAGGTTCTCAGTGCAAGGATCAGGAGTCTTTAGATGCATTGGAGGCACTAGGCACCTGAAAGGGACAAGGAACACCACTCTATGAACAAGCCAATAGAGTACACTAGGCGCATGGGAGCTGATGCACACCCTGCAAAGGACACAGCATGGGAGACACTACCTTGCACCTCAGGAGGAGTTGTGCCTGCCTCAGACACTGTTGTGGTGGTGCTTTAAGCTATACTGTAGCCATGGACATAGAACGAATCTCATGGTTTGCACCAGAAATGGAGATGCCAAAGATGGGAAATCATGAAACAAGAAGTACATGAATGTATGTAGGGCTCTCTCCTTGGAAAGTATTTCATACAATGTGTCTTCTCTCCTCAACTCTGTGCAGCCTCTTATCTAACTTTTTTTAAATATGGATTTTGTCTTTTAATTATGCAAAGGTGGCCAGGCTTCCTGGATAGGAACTTTGCTTTAAACTGAAACAAAGATGGATCTTATCAATCTATCCAAAGTACGTCGAAGGCGCCTATCACTGTAGTATCTAATCTTCCTTCTCTTTGTGCAGCCGCTTTCCCATATTTATTAATTAAGCTAACAATACTCAGCCTCATTGCAAATGAAACTGGAGACAGTTTTTAGATAGCTTTGTAAGTGGTGACACATGTATCTCTGCAAGAAATTAACTAGATGTCTTCTCCTTGGGGATCATTTTTAAGACACATTTTCCATGTTATACTTGGGGAGGAGAAGAAGACCCTTTATTAAATGAGGCATTTCAACCAAATCTTATATCGCACGTGCCTGGATCTTGAACGTTTCTATCAAGCACAAGCCAATTGCACATCCTGAGGTCTGGTCTTTGCATTTTCACAGCAGTTTGCAGCAGAATACAATGCTGGAATATAACAAACTGTATAAAAATGACACCACAATCTTCGGTGCTGCCTTACATTATGTCACACATACTGCCTTGGGTGGTTGCCTGAAGTAGGGTGATAAAAAGCGGTTGTATTTGCCAAACAAGCAGTTGCTCATGGCTGAGACAAACCAGTTGTGCTCCCTGCTGGGCAACGAGAGCATAAGCAGATGGAGGGAAGAACATTTTCAGACTTTGGGCAGGGCTAAAATCCATCACTGGAGGAAGGGGTTGGCTTCAGAAAAAACATCACGTCTCTCAGCCCTGCTTTGATGTGCTGCTTTTCAGTGCAAGACTCCAAACATAAAGACACCGCTTAAGGTTCTGCACTGACCTTAACAGAAAAATTGGCACAGTTCTTAATGCCTGCTGTAAGAATCATTCAAGGAGAAAGGGCATGGACAATATGTTTCTAAAATGCATCCCAAGAGCAAGGCTATCAAAACTGCGTTCAGCAGGAGAGGTGAGCACTAAATTTTTACAGTTCAGTCTGAGACGGGGCGCTGGAACTATATTTACAGTGCGGGTGCTGAGAGCCATTGAACCAAACTGTAAACCCTGTATAGAATGGAAACCACTTCACGTCCGGGGGGCCGCCTTTATGAACCTGGACAGATGACAAAAGATTGCTACCATGGTCACAAGGAATATGAGCCTCTGCATTCACAGCGGTGCTGCATGCTGGAAATACTTCTACTGGGTTGTACTGGTTTATTGAGCCACTGCTGCTTCTCCCCACCTACAACCTACAATTCCTGTATTTTATATACACATAAATGCTGCAGGCTCCTCAGCACTTCACTTTGATTCCCTCCGATGCCATTGTGAACTACTCATCCTGCTCCACATCGCAAGATATTCTTTTTTTTAATACCACCTTGCATAATTCCCTCAAGAGCTGCTGAAGTTCTTAATCTTACGAAGCAGACAACCAAGTCTCCCGTTTGGGGTGGGCTGGCCCAGAAGCATCCCCGGTATACTGATCATCAGAATACCACACAGTTAGCAAAACGACTAGAGAAACAGATTATCCGATAAACTATCAAGCACTGTCATAGCAGAAAGTCCATTCTTTATCCAGTTCATTAAAGTATTATGACCGAGATCACTGCTGCTTGCTGCTCTCACTAAGGTTTAAATGCTGGTTTCTACTGATGGGTTACGCAGGGGGGTGTAAATTGGTGGGCTTGAACCACAATATGTCTGGATCTTGGCAGACGCACTGTCAGCCCAAAGTTTAACTTGATCCTGGGTTAGGGGAAGAGCGAAACCACCATCCATCCCTGCCTCCAGTGTGCAGGTGATTTCTGAAGGGACTTGAAATCTAAGGTTTGGCAGGCATAAAGCAACGGAGGTGGACCATGAGATGCTGAGCTCTTGAGGGAGCTAAATATGCTCATAACCTCTCAAGACCATAGTTTTAGCCATTAGTGTAGATTGGGGCCTTCCATCTCTCCCCGCCGTCCCCTCCCAATTTAAAAAAAGCAAATTCCTTCTCAAAGAACGTCTGGTAACCAGTATGTAATGCAGCATATTTGTCTGTTTTCACAGACACCATTAAAAGTGTTGCTAACACGTGATGAAATGCAGGACTTCATACCGCACCATTAGAATATAACAGACAGCCCATCTAATGCAGTTTAGAGATGCACAATAGTGCATGAACCACAATGTGTCAACTCCACTACAAATTCACTGAAAGTCTGTGCGATTGCTTCCGTACAGTTATAGGATAGGGAACACATTCTATGTGGGATTGATCTACATGAGGTTTGGACAGCAGCATTACTCATAGCGGTGAAGCCACAAGAGAATTATGGGGGTCCTTTCCAAGGAGCACTACTAATAAAATCTTAATACCGCAACCGACCAGCATGTATTCTGTGTATGCCACATATTTTGCAGAAAGAGTATTTTAGAGAGCTTTTAAAACTTTTTCTGAATACTGTTTTTTCATATTCCTCTGACTGCAAATCCAAAGTGCACGGATCTGAGAAGAGAAAAATTAATTGTAAAAGTGTAGAACCACAAAAATTATATTTGCATTTGTGCGTGGGCACACAAGCATACCAGGGTTGCCAGATGTCCAGTTTTCAACCGGAACACCAGGTTGAAAGGGGACCCTTGCAGCTCTGGTCAGCACCGCTGACCAAGCCATTAAAAGTCTGGTTGGCCCACACTGGGGCTCAGAAGGGGGTGCGGGCGCTGGGCAGCCGAGCTGGGGCAGGGGATTGGGCTCAGGGTGCAGGCTCTGGGTGGCGCTCACCTCAGGTGCCTCCCAGAAAGCAGCAACATCTCCCTGCAGCTCCTAGGCAGAGGCGCAGCCAGGGGAGCTCCGAGTGCTGGCCCCAAGCGCCGCCCCTGAATGCCATCTCTACAGATCCCATTGGCCGGGTGCTGTGGCCAATGGGAGCTGCGGGGGTGGAACTGTCACTCAAGCGCAGCATGTGGACCCCCTGGCCATGCCTCCGCCTAGGAGCCTCAGGGACCGCTTCCCGGGAGGCGCCTTAGCCCATAGCCGCCTCCTGCACCCTGAACTCCTCATTTCTTGCTCCACCCTGGCGCCTGCACCCCCAACCAGAGCCCTCACCCCTCCTGCATCCCAACCCCCTGCCCAAGTCTGGAGCCCCCTCCCACATCCTGAACCCCTCATTTATGGCCCCCACTCTGGAGCCCACACCCCCAGCCCAGAATCTGGACTCCCCAACCCCCCTGCCCCAACTCTGCTGCCTGCAGCTCGCACCCCGAACCCCCTCCTGCACCCCAACCCCCCTGCCCCACATGGTGAAAGTGCACGAGTGAGCGAGGGAGGGAGGAGTGAGTGGGGAC